TATATATCTTTTAATTGGTGGTTCGTTTTCTCGTCAGACAACGTAGAAATCACCCAGTCATTCATCTTCATGCGAAAATAAGAAATATTTTTTTTCTCGCAAATACAGCCTGGCATTGGTCAAGAAACTCTCGCATTAGCTGATGAGTTTGTGCAGCGGGGATTTTCCGTTGTAATGCCCCACTTGTTCGGACCTTTAGGTTCCACAAGTGTACTCGGTAATACCGTGCGTGTGATGTGCCTGCGTCAGGAGTTTTATTTGTTCCAAAGCAACATGACGAGTCCGATAGTGGACTGGTTGAGAGCACTGTGTCGCAAAAGCAGAGACGAGCATAATGTGAAGGGCGTCGCAGTTATTGGAATGTGCCTGACAGGGAACTTTGCTATTTCTCTCATGGCAGATGATAGTGTCCTTGCTGGTTATGCGAGTCAACCTAGTTTGCCAATTGGCAACCCCTCCGCATTACATATGAGTGAAACAGATATTGAAGATATCAAAACAGCCTTAGACAAAAAAGGCCCAATGATGTGCGGCAGATTCGCTGGGGACTGGATGAGCACGGGAGAAAAGATGAAAACGATTGACAAGACTTTTAACCAGGACGGTAGCCAGCGAATTGCCATAAATACGCTGCCTGGCAAAGGTCATGCCATAATAACGATTGATTTCGTTGATGAAGAGGGTCACCCAACGAGAAAGGCTCTGGATGGCGTGATGGACTACTTTGGTCGTACCCTAGCGTGCTAGTCAGCAAAATGACGATTGACCTTCTAACAAGTTGGTCGACTGGAGACACGAATGACATCGATGATTTTTTGTGACTAACAATAAAAAACATACGAACATATGCAGTATGAAAAAGATATCGCGTGGCAACGAGTGCACATACACAGCAGGAAGATCCATACTTATCAACGTAATTATCTTTTAACTTTTTGAAGACACTATCTCATATAACCAGTCAGTCAAGGTTTGATGGCTTAAGAACTTGTCGGGTGAAAAGGTGCTCATCCCCTTTGGCTATGAAAACATTCGATGCGTGCCAATAACAGCACAATACCACACAAACCCAGAAAAAATCAGATGAGAAATAGGTATTCTCGTTGTCGCGTGCATTCATAGATAAAGACAGAAAATCTTTGCTGGAAGTATCATTTATAAATGAATGAAAAGTTAGTTTATTTGCTGCGTACTATTATACAAACCGAAAAGGTACGGACTTGTCTGCCATTTAACGAAAAGCACTTGTGACGCTGTATAGCCATTTTATATCTGTTCAGTTTCAGTACGCATTACGCGCTAAATTGGCCTTCTGCTAGTCGCAATATGTACATTTGACTATAACGCACGTATATCATTCGCGTCACGAGCTCAAATCTATACTTCAATTCTGGATGTACAATTGTTTCTGAATGGGATGGTTGTCCTTTTTATGGAAAATCTCTAGCTTCTGGTTGTGCTTTAAATGGCTCTGCGTTAGTCACCTTCGACTATATAAGTTGACCTGGATGCATCTACTGCAGCCGTCAAGACGTAAAGCTGTTTGTTCGTTGTACCCATTGCGAAATACGCCTTCGCTTAAACTTGCCGTGACTGTCGGGGAGCTGATTCAGTGTATATGAGTGCAAACTGGCAGTATCAGAGTTCCTCAAGCGTCTGTGGGCTCTCACTTTCAAACGATATTCGTCTGCTGCTAAATTAGTCAACTCTTCACTGTGCTGTAACTCCAGATGAGTTCCCTGACTTGTGCATATTTTCTGGAAGACAGTGGCTGTATCACTGAGTGTAAACCCGGGTTTTACGAATCGGATAGTACTCTTCACAGCAGTTGCTGCATTGATCCTTAACTCCCTATCCAATTCGTGAAGGTATTCCCGTGCTGCTAATTGCGTATATAGTTGCTCGCAATCTCTTCCGTATTGTAGCGTGATGTGGTCATATCTGTACTTGAGATGTGGATTCCTTTTGGTAGCGATCACACACACAGTTTTGGCTATTTGCGACCGTATCCTGTGCAGACACGCAAGTGTGTCTGCATGTATATATGCCTCGCAAATGTTTGATATGGCATTGATATTCCGCTTTCTCTGTGAAGTAATCAAGTACAAAATAAAAGCCGAATCTTGCAGTATAATGTGCTTATTAATGCGTGCTATCTTAGTGGTCTCAGCATCCCACAGTTCGGAAGTGGCGTCACACCATTCGGCTGTTGTGGCTGGTTGGGAAATTATGCTTTCTCGGGCTGAATCATAGCATACGCTGCTAGCACAGGTTTCCGACATTGCGAGTATATGTAGGTGAAGTACCCGTGAAATTATCCTCAAAATCACGTTCGACTTTAAAGTACGTGTTTTTGGCGTTTATGGCGATATGCAAGTTGTGCGACAATGCAAAAGTGAACTATTGATAATACTGTTGGGCATTCAGCTTGTTATGTGTATATTTATTATGAATTTTTTTATAAAAACATACTTCAAATATGTATATATTTTATTTTCTTAAAATAATATAATATTAATAAGAATATTTAAAGGCAACAACTCTGAACTCTCAGAGGGCCTGCCGGCCTGGCCCTGGGCCTGAAGGGCTGAAGGCCTGAAGTTCCTGAACACTGAACAGCAGAACAGGTTGAACTCCCTAACTCTGAGAGGGGAGATTTACAAAGAGAGGACGAATACGAACAACCGGAAGACCGGATTCTAAGATTTAGTCGCCGTCTGGGGTTTGGACTATGGAGTCTGAACACTTTGAAGTTTGGACCAAGCGCCGCCAGTGAAGAAGCGTCAGTGAGCCAGCAATGGGGCCGGTATTTCCTCTATGCAGGTCAATATTGGAGTTTTGACAGCCCCAGCCCCCAGGGCCCAGGCCCCAAATCTCAAAAACAAAACAAAACAAATACATGCACATTCCTATTTGGCATTGCTTTTTGATGTGTTTTTAGAATAAAACAAAAACAAAAAAGATACCCCAGCACCCAGGGCCAGTAGTGGTCTAAAACTCTAAATAAATATAAGTGATGAAGAAGCAGATGCGAGTTTGCGACTTGTTGGGAATAATAGGATGTGGACGGTGGAAGATTTAGATTAGAGAGTTGGCAAATGCTGGGCAAATGGCAAGTTGGCATTTGGCAACTCTCACTCTTCTCGTGCCTGTGGCCCTGTGTGAGTGTGACTGTGAGTGTGACAGGTGAAGACTGTTGAGAAGTGTCGACTGTCAAGTGTCAGCCCCTTTTAAGGGGGGCAAGCGACCAGCGACCGTCGACTCGTTCAGGCGATCTACTTATTTTTGTTTTTACAAAAACAAATAGACTTAAAAAAGACATCTAAATATTTAACTCTGGTCCCTGGAGTTGATTATTATTTTATTAGCGAACAGGATATTTTATATATTTTATAAAAAATCAATTTTTATTTTAACCAATTAAAGAAATTTTTAACGTTCTACGTATGTATGTATGAAAAATATATTTAGAAGCACGATTCCGGCGTGAACGGTTTAAGTTTGGAATGCAATTTGTACTATATTTTAGAAACACTACTAATGTAGACTGTAGACTGTAGAGTTTTCATCCACGTTTGTAAACCCTACACGGTTACTTTTTATTGTTGAATTTTTAAAAACCGATCATGTACTCGCCCTAAAAGGATGGGGGAAGCTGGGGTCTGGCCGCCTGGTGAGAGCACATCTGTGTTTGTCGTTTTTAAATTTTCTGTCTGCGACGAAAGGTTTAGTACACCGGTTGAACGGGGAACCTGATACATCAAGAAAACAGCTTTTAGGCTTCCTTCATCCAGTAAAAGGCCTTATATAAACGGAAAGCAATATATGTTTTTCATCGGATTCGAAAAAAACCCGTTGTATATCGTTGAATACATTGGTTTTTGCATCACCATCGCTATGCTTCCTATGGCCCATTTCTTCATTCTATCGATTACTTAGCTACTCTTATAAGCATCATACAGAGAAGGTGCAGTGCTTTTACGATATTTAGTTCTAAAGTCAACCTACTGGGCATTTCAGTCATTCAATCGATTGCGATTGCATGCAATGATGTGTGACGGTGTGAATGGTGCGAGTGAAACTTGTGCAAACTCGCTATGATCGTAGTAGAGGATTGGTAACTGGGTATGACCTTATAGACAATCACTATCAACATAATCAAGGTCCTATACCTTTACAGGATCTCTATAAATCGTCTATACACGCTTAGAAAGATCGATTCTCTATGCGCGCAGTCGACTTGCGCGGTAGGAATGTAGACCTTTAGTTTTTTCCGACAGCGCTTAGAAAAACTTTCTCAAAAAATTGAGCGCTAAACAATGTTAAAACAGACCAATGCGATCAGAGTAGAAAACTGCTCAGCAGAAACTGCCCGTGAGTACCTCCATAAATAGAAATAAATACAACGGTTTTATTGATTATTTGAAGTTTTGAACCCGACAAGAAAAAGTCAAAGTGGAACAGTTGAGAGCAGCAGCTAATACTTGATAATAAATAGTTGATATTTCTTGATAATAGAGTCAAATAAAAGTGTGGTGTGCATAGTGGATACCGTATGTACAGACGTACTTTACAAATTGCAAAACAAAACTTAAAAAAAATATATGATAAAAGAACTTCAAAATAGTAATAAATAGAGTAAATAGACGATCTGAAATTGACAAATTCGAAACTGAATATGTGCATAGACATATCAATTGTAATTTAAAAAATATAAAAATATAGGAAACTAGTATGTAAATAGAAATAGACTATGTATAGTACTGTATGTAGTTGTGCCAAGATGTCTGATCGTGAATATGTACTACTAAATATGTACTAGCCGTCAACTCTTATATTAAAAAAATTGAATAACTGAAAAAAAAAAAGAGGTTAAAAAAAATAAAGCCAAAAATACGATACAATACATAATTTTGTTTTTTATATAACAATTACATAAATACTTTTTTAATAACCACAACCAGGTACGAGCATGTTTTATTTTAAACAAAAAAACAAAACAAAAACAGGCTTCTCTTATTATAATAAATATATACTGGCGGGTGGACTGGGGTGGAGTAAATATTTATTATGTACATATGTAGTTGCAACCGGTTTTTTCACTTGGTTTATTAAAACTAAACAAAAAGCAGAAATGTATTTGTTTAAAAAAATATGTACAGTCAAACCTCTTTATATGACCACCTCTTTACGATGATATATCACCAATTTTTATTTGGGCCAACCCCTTCAAATTCAATAGGTTACTGCCTGTCTACAGATAAATGCCAGCCACCGGAGGACAAGTCAGATCAGACAACTACTGAATCAGATACAATGCAGGAAGACGACGTGACACAAGCTACGCCTAAGCAGGGTGCAGTGTCTAATGTGAATGGAGCATCTCATATGATGATGAATAAGCTCACTGGAAGTAAAGAGAAGAAGGCATACCCACAGGAACACTGAAGAGGGTCAATCTAGCAAATAAAGACAAAGGAATTATCGTGCGCGCAATCAAGCAAGTGGGATACAGCTTTGACAGTCAAAGAAGCCGTGCGAGCTGCGCATGAATCATTCGGTGTGCGTGTGACAAACCACGCGTTCGAGAAACGTTTGATTGAGTGGGTTAATAAGGTTAGAGGAGCTGGTTCTAGTGTAAGTCAGGGCTTGATCGTCACAAAGGGAAAGGACTATTTAGGTGAGAACGCAACGTGAATATAGGAGCATATTTGAGTTGTATTGCGCTTGGAATAGCTCCTGATCTGTTTATAGGTCAGACCCCGAACCTGACAATAAGAACCTGACCCAGGCTTGTCCACCTCTTTATATGACCAAATTTGACCAAAAACGGACATTGGTCATATAACGAGGTTTGACTGTGCAGTATTTAAATATTTTCGTTTGTTTCTAAAAAAACATATTCATTGACTGTCATAATGTTAATATTAAAAAAAAACTCGTTGTCGAGAGACTGATCAGTATTTTTTTAAATTTAAATTTTCAGTATGTAGTCAGACTGATAACTGACAGTTGAAGAGTGCCTAACTGCCAACCTGTTTCTTGAGATGAGTTTAAAAAAAATAAAAACCCCCTCGCGTCTCGCCACACCCCCTCTCAATAGAATTTGTTTTTTTTAAATAAAACGTGAACAGAAACACGGGGTGAATTTATTCATTTTGTAAAACTAAATATGAGCCAGTGTGAAGCCGGAAGGGGTTGTTTTGTTTTTAGTAAAAAACATAACAAAAAACAAAACTATACTATAAAAACTATAAAATCTGTTGACTCTGAGACTGAGAGTCTGAGTGACTGAGTCTCGTTTCTGTCACTTTGACACAGTGACTTTCGACACTGTGTCACCGTGAGTCTGTATGTTGCTTGTTTTCATTTGAAAAAAACAAACTGAAATCTCAAATACTGTTGAGTTTATTTTATTTTAACACCCTATCCATATACTACGGGGTACAAATCGGGCCGAAAATTAAGAAGCGTTCCAGATTGTCTATATCCGGATTTCTATTCAATCCCTTTTTGTTGTTGTTGGCACATTTCCAGATTAAGTATTTCCTAAATGACCTGCAAAGGAGCCAAGGTCGTAGTACAAGTAGAACACCTTCTATACTCGGGAGTCTAACACTACATAGGAATCCTCCAAAACACGATTATTGCATCTATATATGCATAATTAGTAAAGTTTCAATGTTGTCACGTACAGATATTGTCAAAAAAATATCGTTTATGCATTCTTACAACCGTAATGCATGCTACAGTTGCTGTAATCGAGAAAAAGTGTGTTTACGCCAATTGATGTGCCATGCAATCGATTGCACGATGAATCTCAATTCCTAAACTTTTGGTCAAAACTCACTACATATTCACCCACAAGTGATTACAATTGCACGTGGATGGTGCTTTTGAGCAAGTATAATAAGCCCTCTATACCACAATGATAGGTTCTAAACTACGAATACTTGCATTTGTTATATATGAGAACCCTCAGAAAGTTCAAACTGCTAATACGCGACATGGAAATCCAGGATTTGACATGGTCGAAAAGTGCACAAGCCTGTTCATAAATTGATACATAGCTGTATGAACAAGGAGAGCTATCAACTTGGCGCCTTTGCATTTTTTTTTGAAATGTTTCTAGAAAAAGTCGAGAAACAAAATTAGGATTATATCCAAAACCAGATATAATGAATTAGGTTTGCTACTTAAAAATCAGGTCCCCTTTGTACATGGATGGGGTGTTAATAAAAAGGCCCAAAATACAGAGGGGAGGGGAAGGGAAACAAATTACAATATCAGCAACCCTAATTTAGCCTTCGTTTGTGGTACATTCTCAAACCCGATTGTCGTAATTGAAAAAATATACTATTTGATATTTACGAAGTGTTTGGGACTGTAGTATAGGTCTAGTAGAGCTCGGGGGGTTTTCAAATCGTTAACGACATACGATATTTCAGTTCGCCATACACGATATAGTGTTGGGCCAATGTGTATTATATTGGGTCAAAATGTGCCTATACGTGTATAAAATTTAAAAGTGCAAAATGCAAAAAAAAATCAAAAAATCCAGGGAGGACCTCAAAAAATATACAAAGTAGCACATCCGAAACACGTGAAGAGGTCTGAACTTTGAACTCTGAACTTCTTTTATTTATTTATATCTTCTGAAGTGCTGAACTTCAGAAATCAGCTGGTCAGTGAACTTGTGAAGTTCAGAAGAAGAAAAAATACGAATTGAACTTTGATTTAGGAGTAGTTTCAAATCCGGTTTTATAGAACCAGATAAATATATTTTAACGGCTAAAACTTCGCTAATTTTGAAAGTGTATGTATTGTTCAATTTCATTGGTGAGCTTAAAACAAAAAAGGAATCTATACTCTGAAGTCTGAAGCTTCTGGAAATCTGAATCTCGGAGCTGATTGTTTTTTTTTGGTAATTTTTATAAAATGGCTTCAGCCCTACTCTAGAAGTAGGCCTGAGGGCTGAGGCCTGGGGTCCTACTACTCCTAGTAGTGAATAGTAGTAGAGAGTGGAGTTGGGACTTGGAACATGCACGAGGTCCTGTCTGCCGCCTTCCTGGGCTTTCGTTATGACGACGTATCGTAAACTAGATTGCTACTCCGATATATCTCAATGGTAACCTTTATTATGCCCCATAGTCCTATAGACGTCTTGCGACCAAAACTATGCCTGACGATATAGATACAGATATATAGATATAGTTACACATATAGAAATAGACATATAGATACCGATACATAGATATCGATACACATAAAGAAATAGATATAGATATAGATATAGATATAGATATCAATATAAATATAGATTAGATATATAAATACATATATACATATATACATTTATCACATGTATATACATATATACATACCTACAAATATATATATATATATATATATTTATATATACATATATACATATATAAATATATACATATATATATATATATACATACATACATACATACATACATACATACATACATACATACATACATACATATATATAGTAATATATGTATATATATATATACATATATAAATATATATATATATATATATATATACATAAATAAAAGGGTATACATACCTACACATACACATATAAACATATGTATACATATACCATTGACACTATCTGTGGACAAACCAGATGTGAGTTCCATGTTGTAGCGTGTCTATATGGT